AGCGAGGAAATCGGGACTTGACTTTTTTTTGGCGGTAGGCGGGGGTGGCATTATATAGCGGGAGAATATAACGGGAGAGCACTGTATATGTCCCATTTCCTGACATGTGTGACATTTACTGTTCTTGTAAAAGCACTTATCGGGTGTGTGGTTAGTCTTCCCGCACCTGTAGCAAGGTTTACTCTTTACAACACTGACCTTGTGTACAGTTTCATGTCCGTGAGCATCCTGAGCGTCAGCCTTTAGTTTGTGGGCTTTGTTCTCAGCGAGTTCCATAGAAATTGCTATGTCCACGGCTCTCTTTAACTCTAATTTGTCCTCAGCTAATAATTTCCGCTGGGTTGCCAGTGATGAAAGACCACACACTAAACGATCACGTAATGCTTGATTCAAAAACTCACCAAAATCACAATGTTCACTAAGCTTTCTAAGTTCAGCAATATACTGACTAACAGTTTCCTGTTTTCCCTGATTTCTCTGGTAAAATCGAAATCGCTCCGCAATCGCTAGTGGTTTTGGTTTCAAGTGTTGCGCTATCAAAGTTTTCAACTCTGCATAGGATTTATCAGATGGCTTTTCCGGGGACGTTAAATTACGAATAAGTCCGTACATCCTCTGACCACATACTGTCAATAATATAGACTTCTTTTTTGTCATTATCGTCAATTCCATTGGCAGTTAAAGAATGTTCTAACCTTTCAATGTACTCGTCCCAGTTCATGTCGAACTCGTAGTTCTCTATTTTTCCGTAGACAGCCATAGTACCAGTATTTGCGGTTGTGGTGTTGTAAATCTCGTCGCCAATTGTTATGTTTATCACTCTGTTCATAGGGTTCTTTTAACACACACAACATTAACTGACTATGGTTTATTCATCAGTCTACAACACATCATGGCTACTGGCCAATACACAAAACGGAAAGCATGCGTAATATCTAAAAGATGAACCCAATATGATATGAACTCCGGATTTCCGGTATAATGGACATAACAGTTATGACACCTGCAGAGAAGCCCTTCGGCTTTTCGGATTTGATCTCATGACCAACTAAAAGTTCATTTCGCAGAGAACTTTTTCACATTGTTGTTTATTTCTTAAACGAACGTGTTACAGTATTCTTCCGACAGTCTAATTGTTCTTATGACTTGCATAATTATTAAATATAATCATATACATGTAGTATACTCGTTATGCATATCTGAAAGTTTATCTCAATTCTTTTGAAGGTACCAACATGAAACATTTTCTTTTAAATTTTATTATCAAGTCTTTCATTTATTAATTCCCAAAGAAATACTGTAATTATGTTTTATTACCTTTTTAATTCTAGGACTGGAGAAATCTGCAAAAATAAATACAGTACTAGTACATGTATTCAACTCTGAGTAAAACGCAATGAATGATTTGACATACACCTACATGTTCATAAGTATACAATAAAATACATATTGTAGGTACTGGTGAAAAACAGTCGTTGCTAAATAGATTTCTGGATGAGAACGGAGAATTCTCTAAGGCAAGCAACTTAGTAAATCTTGTTCAAATTTTGATTGAAAATGGTGCCTCCGTCAACGAATGTGAAGAGGGATTCGCTTCACCTCTGATAAAAGCTGTCAGACTTTCGTCATTTGAACTTGTGGATTTGTTACTCCGACAAGGAGCAAACGTTAATCACCATGGAAAGAACGGATTTACAGCATTACATGAATGTTGTATCAAGGGTAAGCAATAAATTCTTAAACCAACCTTTAAAATGTTGAGAAATAAATAAAAACAACTAAATGCAGCTGTTTCAAGTACACAAAAAAAATTAAAAATTATTAAAACTATATGATGAATAAAAAAGGTACGGTTTAAGCTTTATTGTGCCCTAAAAATTTCATGATTTCAAAAAGTTTTGAAACTGGCTGAAATATTAGTCAAGAATATAATTGTAATAAATCCGAAAGAATATGTCTTGAAGGAATACAATTCTGAAAATGTGACGTCATTAATTTGATCCACCTCAATTTTAAAGAGAAAAAAATCTAAAAAATCATTTTAAAGGTTCTTTTCCTTTAGAATATACATGTAGTGTCCACAGCCCTGACCAACTTTATGTTTTGGATATGTTGTGTAAAGTTCTTTGAAAAATCACATATCTCAAAATCTTTGTGGGTGATGCCTGTGGACAATATCAACTGAAACAAAAATTTCATTGAAATAGTGACTTCTGCAACTTTTTTAAAGAAAATACGTGAAAATGCACAAATTTATGACGTCACAATTAGCATTGAGAAGGTAATGAGAAACAAATATGATACTTATGCATGGAATTCCAAAGATCCAGAAAACATGAGTTTAACTTATTTTACATCACTTTTATTTTGAAGAAAAACACAGGGCAAGATTGAAACCGTCCCTTTATCTTTTTCGATGCAAGATTCCATCAACTTTAATACAATAATCTTGAACTCGATGAAAAAATATCTCTTAGCCTAACGTCTTGTATAGATATTTAACCTATCTTTCAAGGTAAATTTGAAGTAGAGGACCCTAACACAGAAATCTTCAATCTCCTATTAGGAGCAGGAGCCTCAGTGAACAGCCAAGCAAGCAGTGTGAACACACCAGTGACTGTAAGGATAAATAAAGGCTGTTTCGTTTTAAACAATGAGAAAAAGCACGGTCTTTTCAAATTTGTTTTCAATTTCTTTAAAAAGGGAATCTATCCTGACAGACAGAATAAAGAAGGAACTACTTGCTTGATGTTAGCAGTTAGTAATTACAGTCTCATCAAGCAACTTCTAGATATTGGTGCAGATCCAACAGTTCAAGACCAAAATGGAAACACCGTATTGCATCATTTGTGTATGTCTCCTTTCATGTAAATATATATTTATTACTAGTATATACAAACAAGATGTGTTTGTGAAACACTGATGCCCCCGTATGGCAACATAGCAAAGATTTAACTTTTCTTAAATGCAGATGTAATTAATTGGCACAGAAGTAGGGTATTCTCATTGGAAAACAATTGTGAAATTTGAAAGTAAGCCAATGTTCAAGTTTTTTCAACAAGTACAGAAATCAAGGGTCAGAAGGTCAATGTATTTGGTATCAAATGAAAGGTATTGCCACAGAGAATACTTATATATAGAGTATGAAAGGCCTAGCCCTAACCGTTCAGAGTTATGGCCAAGAAAATTTTTTTTAAGTTGGTCAAACTGCAAGGTCAAAGTTCTTGTTATCAAATGAAAGGTCTTGTCAGAAGGATAAAATATGTCAAATATAAAAGCACTAGCTCTAACCCTTTAAAAGTAATGTCAAGGTTTGCTTTTTTAAAGTAGGTCAGTCTCAAATGTCAAGGTCAAATGGTCAAAGTTTTTGGTATCCAATGAAGGGTCTTCTCACAAGGATTACATTATACAATTATTGACTTTTGATGAGGTCTACTCGTGACTATACAGACCTGGTCAGGTATAGGTTGACCGAGGCCGAAGGCCGAGGTTAACCAATACCTGACCAGGTCTGTATAGTCACGAGTAGACCGAATTCAAAAGTCAATAACCGTTTTATTAAATGATGAGGAATTTTACAACACTGCTGACTCTTTCATTCTTGTCTCCTTCAAATATAAACATCCATAATGTAAAGTGTAATTACACTTTTTACATGTTGATATACTTCAACAGCTAAACAAATATTAGTTAAAAAGTTAAAAACAATATTAATAAACAATAAATGCTCAACCATTTACTTTCAAAAGTTCGTAATCTCCTTGGTAATGGCGTCTGACATGTTTTACATTCACACCGACACATGCTTTGAAACACGCAATCTGATTGGTCGAAAAAGCTGTAAGCAAATCTATGGTTGGTCGAGAGGGAAAACCCGAATAAACCTCCCAGAACGTCATTTGAGGTTAACTCACTCTGAGGTACACACTAGTAAATGGCGTCTAGACCAATCAGAGAGCACCAAAATTCCTTATCATTTAATAATATTATATGTAGTATGAAAGCACTATCCCTTACCGTTCAAAAGTTATGGCCAAGGTTAAAGTTTTTTCACAAGTACGGAAATCTACAATGTCAAGGTCAAAAGGTCAAGGTTGTTGGTATCCAATGAAAAGACTTTTGACAAAGATTACATATTTGATGTATAAATATCCTGGTATCTACTGTTCAAAAGATATGGCCAAAGTAAAAGTTTAAAATTTTCATGTAAAAGTTGATAAAACTCCAAGGCCAAGGTCAAATGGTACCCATAGAAAGGTCTTGTCACAAGGAATACACGTGAAATATGAAAGTCATAGCTCAACTATATCAAAAGTTATGGGCAAGGTAAAAGTTTTTGCGGACAAACAGACAGACAGACGGACGGACACTACAAAAACTATATAACCCTGAAATTTTGTTTACTGGGACATAAAAAGATGTCTTTTTGAAACAGTGACGCCCACATATCGCAACCTAGTTAAGTTTAAAGTTCCCAAATGCAAATCAATTATAAAAGCAGGTCAAACTCCAAGGTCAAAGTTGTTAGTATCCAATGAAAAGTCTTGTCACAAGAATTACATATGTTAAATATGAAAGCCCTAGCCAGTACCTTGCCCTGGCCAGGGTTCAAGTTTTTTAATAGTTTGTCAATCTCCAAAAAGTCAAGTCAAAAGGTCAAAGTTCTTGGATAAAAGTCCTTGCATCAACCGTTCAAAGTTTTGGCCAAAGTAAAAGTTTGAGTTTTATTTGTGTGAAATTGTTTCAAACTCCAAGGTCAAAAGGTCTCCAAACGAAAGGTCTTATCACAAGGAATACACTCGTGAAATATGGAAGCCATACCCCCTTCCAGTCAGAAGTAATGGGCAAGGTTAAAGTTTTGGCGGACACACAAACAGACAGATAGACGGACAGGGCAAAAATATTTACCCAGAATTTTCGATTACAGGGGCATAAGAAACGTTTTACATAGATTTGAATCTGATGATAACTTGCATCACTAATAACATTTAACAAACAGAATCGATTTCATTTTAGACTTGTATGCTATTCAGTATGATTTTAGGTTCAACTACATTAAAAAGAAAAAAGAAAGGAGAAATTCTGGAGCTTCTGCTTAAAAGTGGGACGGATATTAATGTTTTAAACCACGAAGGATACACTCCTCTAAACCTAATGATAAAGGAAAAGACAAATTTGAATGTGGAAGATGTTCAGGACTTACTTATGCAAAAAGCTGGTCCAAATATATGCCTCAAAGGATGCAATTCTCCGTTGATAAATTCACTTTTGAGATGTAAACTGGACGTTGCTTCTTATTTATTGAAAGCTGGCGGGGATGTAAAGCATGAAGGAAAATCTGGTTTGACTGCTCTTCATGCCGTTTTAAACTTGGAGCTTACTAGCGGTAAATCAGACATTTAACTCTTCAAAATTATTTGTAAAAGTCGAAGATAACGAACGGCAATGTGACGTTGTGGTAAGAATGTCCTCTCCAGAGCCGCGGAATAAGAAGTTGGTCATTACGTCGCAGGTTAGAATCCCACTGTGGGACGTGGAGACCGGTCCCTTGGATGAGATTCTATAAATCAAGTTCCGGTGTCGCAGTAGGTGCTGGCACGAAAATGATCCCTCAGTGATCAGTGGCCCTTAGTGCCGCGTTTAGAACAAAATTGTTCGATCGACAGGGGAAGCTTACTCCTCTATGACATCGTACCCCATCTCTGATGTTTCAGGAGGTCTGTGTTTGCTCTGCTCCCGATTTGCTTTGTTTGAAAGAAGACTGGGTAATTCATTATAGTAACAATCACATTTTTCGGTGTACTAAAATTAATTCTATGTTTTCACAATTTATAAGGCTCCTAAAAGATTCATTTGCTAATAAGTAATATGTTTATTGTGATGAAATATTTGAATATACCTCATTCT